CGCGCTCAATTATTGAAGTAGATTTCTTGTCTTATTATAATCTCTTGGTCAACATTCGGAAATAACGCCTAATCAACAACATCGCTCTACACCCACCACTTAAGGTATCTTTGTCAATCTTTCCTTTTCTTGTTAAGGTCATCTGTATCAACTGAAGAGTTTCTAGGTATCTCCAGTCCATCTTGTGTCTAAAAAGAACAATATTCGATACCTCTGCAGTGATTATAGAACACTCAACGCACGAACTATTTCTGATCAGTACCCTGTCCGTCATTTTTTGAACTTTTCTTACGACCTTTATGGTTGTACCCTTTTCAGTATCATTGACTGATCAAAAGCGTACACCCAGATTTCTTGATGAGTTTCTAGAGACCGTTATAACAACCTCCTTATTCCTTAGGTCTATTTGAATTCGTCTTCATGACTTTAGCCTACACAATGCAGCACAAACCTGGAAACGCTTTCTTGACAACGTTCTACACGATCTGCCATTTTTCTTCGAATACCTAGACGTAGATGACATCTTGGTATTGTCTCATAATGAAAACGAACATAAAAAAACACTCACGAGTATATACCATATGCTTAGTTTTTACCGACGACATCTGTCATATGATATTACTATTCAATCACTTCATAATACCATCCTAACAGGTCCAAAGGTAAAAGGCTTAATTCTTGTTCAATGGATAATAGACATCACAATTAATATCAGCTTTCGACAACTGCAAGACTGCACTTTTTGAGGTTAAACTCCTGGCTCATTTTAACATCTCAACACCCATAGCCCTCGATACATAGTCCATCAATTCTAGCCACTTCGTAATTGGTACGGTTCTCTAACAGCAACTTCGGCAATCTTGAGAGCCCTTAGCTTTTTTTCTAAGGAGTTTGGAAAAATCCACAAATATGGAATACTAATGACCAAGAAATTTACTCGGTTTATGAAGCTATCAAGTATTTCTAATCAATGTTTGAAGCCCATCATTTCACTATATTTATAAATCATAAACCACTCACATTTGCTTTTTTTCAAGATATAGCGAGTTACTAGTGAGTTATTATCTTCACTACCAATCTCTCCTGAACCTTCAAACATTGTGGAAAATCTTCGAACCGTAGTTTTCTAACTTTAATCTCAACGAATAGACTAGTTTTCGATAACACTAACCAAAAATGCGACGGTGGCTACTCAGTATGTTCCGCACGGTGCGATTGTTCTTTAATATTCATGCATACTTACCACATACTTACAAAACTTTTTTTTTATTTTTAAAAATTTCGATCACAAAAAGGCCTAAAGGACAACCCAGACAACGGTGGACTGATAGAATCATGGAAGACCATAAGATAATTGGGATAAAGAACGCGGAAAAAAGTTCAATGAACAAAGAGAATTAAAGGAAGGTTGTTGCTTTAGCGATGGACTTTAATGATCTCTGAAATGCCTTAGAATAAGTAGAAGTAAAATTTCGGATGGGAGTTCTAGAACCCATAGACCACCTGGATACCTAATACATAATTATAAATAAGTATACGAGATGGTACTATTTTAATTTTCTACATAATATATTGATAAATCATTTGCTTAACAATAATATACGAGTAATATAATAACATTTAACTGTGAAAAGATTGTTTAATATCACATAGTTATAATAATAATAATAACATATAAAAATAACTCGTAATCAAGAAATAGAAAATTGCATGATAACAAATAGTTAGTTTTTAATGTAAACTCAAGGCCGTTACTTGGAGGATACAAAATCTCTCCTTCGATGTTGTTTTGATCATAATAACATATGCCTATACATCAGCAGTCCCTATTAGGATTTCGAAATGGGTCAAATATTAATTTTAAAAATTATTTATAGATTGATGCAATAAATCAATTTTAATTTGTGTAATATTAAACTAAAAAAAAAGGTTTTTGTTGAACGTATATTTTACCTTGAGTGTAAAAATTCATAGTTTCTAGTTACATTTTTAATAATAATAATAATTAAAAGATAAAAGAATAATAACTAATAAGATAATTAATTGATAATTGACATTTCAATTACATATAATACAACAACATAATAAGTATTTACTTATATTTACCAAATCTTAAAATGTTGGATTTTAAAACGTACAATTCAGTTTTACTGTATGCCATACAAAATTTTTTAAAAGGCGCATAATTAAGACCTGCCTATACTTAACCGTATAGTTCATTTACGACTTTATACAAATTACGAGTTGTGACGATAAGGAGATAATTAATAACTAAGAAGTAATAAAAAGTAGGTCACTGTAATTGCACTCGTTTTCTAAGGTAATAACTTCTTAAGTAGGTACCTAGTACCTACCATAAATTTACTAATGTATAAAAATTCTATTTTTTAAAAGGAATTTTTTTTTTTGCTTGTCGACGAAGCTTATTAATTTATTTGACTAGGTATGTGTTTCAGCACATTCAATTTATTAATCATTACCAAAACTGATATTACATATTTTCAATTTATGAGAATTTGACATCTAGTAATATGTCTCATACTAAAACCATTAGTTATGTTAAATTCTATACTCTGTGCTACGAGAGAACGCGTACGGCGGCAGATCAAACCGTCTTTCGCTATGCACTCTCATACAAAACTGTCACCAAGCGGTGGAGGAATTGCATATGTACGTTGCATGCCACTTTGATGCGCGAGCTATACTTGTATGCGTACTGTCGTGGCACGGAATATAATACTTATAAATTATAATCAATGGCATAAATTTTAAGACTTAATAATATTCATCCAACAACTATATCTACGGACTCCACTGTATCTATCTCAATTTACATGCAGATTCCTAACTTCCTAATCTCTGATTTGATAATTAACATAATTATAAATTTATGAATCATTGTAAATATTAATTGTATTACATAGGTACATACTACATACTAATAATAAAATGTATTGTAAATAATAAAACACTACTTTAGTAGATAGATATTACCTTACAAATGTTGAGCCTATACCCGTTAATAATGCCAATAAATAAATATTAAACTTTATTATGTACCAAATACCAACATTTAAAAATAGGTACATCTATGAATTTATGAGTTTAACAATCTTTAATAAAAATCATATGAGTTAGATTTCAGATGAGCTCTAATAGAGCTGCTCTATTAAAAGACACTTCGAAAGTTCCAACTTAAAAGTACAATAAAAAAAATGTCAAATGAGCATATTTAGATACGTGTTTAATTTAAAACTGAAATAGGCAATACTGATAACAAAGAAGATACATAGGTAATAAAAAAAATATATTTACAGTTTCTGAAAGAAAGTGATCTTTTATCTTCTTCTGATGCATGTTTAAAAGTGAAGAATAGAATTACTATTAGTGGTAATTTAAAAGAATATGTATAAGGTATTCAAATTTATACACTTGTAATTTATAAATTATAATTTTATATATCAATTTATCATACAGTACCTAAAACAAGTAGAACATAAACTATGGCAAATTTTTTGTTAATCATGGAAATCAGAAATCAGAAAATAAATATGTTGACTGCATTTAAAGACCAAATATGGTAACAAATGTCATGGAACAAAAGACATAATCTATATTAGATTGGCAGTTAAAAGAATAAAAGGTGATCATTAAAACTAAATAACCAATTTTAAGCTTTTCTTCGCAATATAAAAGTACATAATCATTCTTTAGTTATTTAATTTCTGTTTTAAGAGGTCCCATATTTTATAGGCCCCACGGCCACCAAATTTCTTGCTATATCACTATATGAAGTGTAAGTAGGCAAGCGTGGGCGTCCCTAGGGGTAGGCAAGATGAGCACTTGTCCCCCCCCCTAGAATTTTAAATTTGTTTCCTAATTGTAATAATATAGTGTTGTACTGACGAAACAAATAATGTTCTATAAATAAAATTTATAATAATAATACCCAATTGTAATAATGATAAAACATTATAATGTACTATAAATAAAATGTATAAAAAAATTTTTTATATATTTTTTTAATTAATTTTAGCCCCCCTAAAACAATGTCTGGGGACGCCCACGTAGGCAGGTACCAGTTAACATAAAAAATGTTTTGATGTAGGTAATATTGTGCAAACCTATATCGTATTATTAAACAATTAATATTATAATTTTAGTTTCATATTTAAAACATTTCAAGAATGCATAATACATATGAAGTTTTATTTTTATTCTTTATTATGATCAAAGATTAACTATTTTTTTAATACATGTATAGGTATTATAAACATGTATTTATTAACACCAGTTTTGTATAAAATATTGTTTAACTATTAATATAACACAATAATCAAAAAAAAATTAGTAATAATTCTAAAAAAACAATTCACTAAATAATCTTATATAATAAAACAATGAAATAATAAAGTAATTTATTATATAAATAGAAACATAAACGCCAACAAATCACACGAAGTTTAAAGCTATTTTCAAATGATATTTTATTTATAAATAAATAATGTATAATATATTTTTACATAATACTTGTATTCTTAAGAATTTGTATATTTTTAAGTAATAGGTATTTATGTAGTCAGTAGTCACATTTTAACCGTTTTATAATTGAGGTTCCAATAGTTTTTGATCTACTTCCACTTATTTCTGAATCAGGTAAATTAACATACTAATAAGGTCTAATAAAATGAAAAACTCAGAAATATATTCCACAATTGAGTTTAAAAAATTATTCTTTAACATTTTGTCTTTTACAATAATAACTCCAAATTTATTTATAATTATCCTAACTTGACACACCAACTACAATATTTTAATTTATATATTTAATAATGCAACTATTAAAAGAAATATTACTTATTTCCTTTATTAATTTGAAAAGCAAAAAATATTTAAACTTGAACTAAAATGTAAAATACTACACAGTGTATATATTTTATGAATCATAAACATCTAAATTGATTGTTTATATATATATAAAAAAAAAAAACAAAACTAAGTGATATTGTAGAAAATGGATTTATTTATATTTTTGTTTCATCAATGTTTGGTACTCTTCACAAGATTTCATTTGATATTTAGAAGCTTTATTGAATAAGGTAGAATCATCATCTAAGCGTGCTCTCCACATTAATGATTCATCTAAAATATCATGGTTAAAAATAATTATAATTTGTTGAATATATTGAAAATTATAAACTTAGAGTTACTAACAGTATTCTTTTTCACGTATGCATTTTGTCCGTACTGTATTTATATAATCTTCTTCTATAGTATGTTCTAAACGTCTTAAATCGCCTGTATAGTCAGTATGAAAATTATCTTTCACAAAATATGAAATGTCTCTGAATGAAGTACGACGATGAACAGGATACTTCCTAATAAAAAAAAAAATGTACATATTCATTTATTAATGTTTAAGTGAAATGAATTTAAATGTAAAATACTTACGAGGAATGTTTTAGAGCATACACAGGGTCATAAGAAAAGTTTGAAAACAATGATAGTAGAAGTAGAAGAAGAATTGGTAACAGTTGAAAATATATACTTGATGATTCCTATAAACATAAAAATATGCATTTTATTAAAGTTAATCATACAACACTATCTATAAAAAACCTAACTGAAAGAGACTTGAAATAAATATGCTATTTTTGTTAACTGTATTAAATTTTACCAACAACAAAGTATTAAATAATTATTATAAAAAATGCAAGGATTTTTTTTCATTAATAAAATTTTTTTTCTAAATTCTATATTTTTAATATTTTAAAAGTTATTATATCCTCTAAGTATATTTATCAATAGCAACAGTTTATAAACTTAAAATTTCAACCTTTATCAAATTTTTTGTTAAAAACTTAGTATATCAAATATTATTACAATTAAAATCTTTAGATGTTTTAATATGATAAAATTAACAAAAAATATAACAAAAATATTTATTTGAACAAAAAATTGAATATTATAAAAAATTTTATAGTACCTATATAATAATATTAGTTATCAAGTAAAATAAGTATATTAAAAATGGATGTATATATGTATGTATTATATTTTTCAATTAACAAAATCAATGAGCATTAAAGAAAAGAAAATAATCAAAGTTCCTGTAAAAAAAAAAAAAACGCAACAACAAATTAAAAAATATGACTAAATATATAATATACATTACTTTAATATAGTCCTATCTATATTTTTTATTTTAAGTTTAAATGTGTACAGAATATTTTTAAGTAAAAATAATAATCCTATATTTAACAGTTAATTGGGTATAATAAAATTATAAATTATAATCAATTAAGTACAAATTAATCAAAATTTAAGTCAAAACTTTCTTAAAAATTTGAATTTTATATATCTATTCTTAAAATTAAAAAAATGATAGTTGGTAAACAATTAATTTAAAAATTATAATTATATTCTATTTACATTATGAAAGAATCTGGGTCATGTTAAGTGCCGATCAAGCAATTCCAGTTTGTCTTCTCACAAGTCTTTCATTTTTATGTTGCTATGTAATATAACCTATCCTGACATGCAAGTTAGCAGCCAAAATTAATTTTTAATGTAACTGGAGTACATAAACATTAATATATCAATGTTTGTTATTAATTATAACAAAATCTGTACTAGAATTTGAAAATAAAATAAATTGTCATTTCTATGTATAGTAAAAAATAATAATTTATTAATTTATAATTAATAATAAATCCATTTAATTTAATTTTTGATTAATTTGGTAAATAATTAATAATTTAGAATAAATTAAAAAAAAAACATTTCGACAACTAACATTATACATTTACCAAATATTATAATGAATAAAAATATTACAATTAGCATATTTAAATATTTATACAACTCATCTATTATCAGTCAGTGGTAAACACTCCAATGCATATTGTTAATATGCAATTACAATACATTAAATACAACAGTATGGATTAAAAATTACTAAATGTATAATGAACAACTGTTTTTATTATTATTAATTTCATACTTTTCTAATTTTTTTATTGCTTTTATTGGAATTGAAATTTTTATGAATTATAATATATGATTAAAAATTAATAAAATAACTTTAAAACAAAACCAAAATTCATTATACTATAAAAGAAAAAAATGCAAAAGTAAATCTCAAAATTAAAATTACAATAATAATTGAAAATAAAAATACATACCTAAGTAATTTTTTTTACATTAACAAAATATTCCAAGATATGGTACTTGTCCAATATGCTATCTACCATAAATATTTTATCTACTGTAATTTTATTATAGTTTAGTATAATACCAACCGTATATCCGTAAACTGTATATTATACATACTTTATCATTTTGCAATTAAGATTTAAGATTAAGCTTTTATTGAAAACCCAAATCATATTATATTTATATTTTAGACCTTAGTAAGTTAGGAAGGGTAGTAGGTATACCTTTATATTATACCTGTTTAGTATGTGTTTGTGAGTCGTGTCTATTATATACGTGGTTTTACTATGATTTATTTATTATTAAATATTATTTAATAATTATCATTATGAGTTTGTCAACTATGAGTTATTTATATCGACACATAATTCAAAATGAAGAGATACCTATGCAAACATTTTTTAAGTACACGCTGTTTATTACCAATCGACCAAACTTGTAAAAAAATTAAAAACCAAGCAATTTGTGGTGGTGAGTTAAAAAAAATTATGAAAAATAGTTGAAAACGTGATTCGGAATATCATACTTCACCAACGTAAAATGACGGTAGAAAGAATAATTACGGTAGATAGCATACTAAACCATTAAACGTGCGATAGATAGCATATTGGACGAGTACCCAAGATATTTTAAAGAAACTAAATATGCCCTTATACTTAAAATATTTAAAAAAAAATCTTTTTTCTTGTAAATTTTATGTTGAACGAATCATCTACATTGTTTATTATTATTAAACAGCAAGCTATGCTTAGATATGATATGTAAAAACCTAAAGATCCAGAACCTAATTATTACAAATAAATTGTTCAATCTTTATGAATATGAGTGTTGAACTTTAATTAAAAATGCATTTTATAGTATATTGATAAATGTAATTTAACTATTATTTAAGAATCTTATGAAAAAAATCAATCTAGCTTGATGAAAGAAGCATAAATCATGTACATTAAAATAATAAAACAAATAATTATTTTTGATAAATTTATAATATAATGACTTTTTACAGAAATATCATTACAAAATATATATACATTTTATAAATATTTTAATTATTTTAACACATTAAACAAAAATTGAACACCATTATATAATGTTTTGAAACCATGAATAACAATTCATCAAAACTGCATACATTTTAGATTTTAATATTATATATTCATACAAATATTCAATTACAATAAGCCAGTAATTAACTCAAAAAAATACTAAGTTTCTTTTAGGTTTTATTTATAAATATGTAATTTGTCTTTTTTGAAAATAACTGTTTAATAAAGTCTATTACTTTATTGTCCATAAATAAAAAATAATACAACTACCGATAGATTTTTCAAATGGATACTATATTTTATAATTTGGAATTTGAATGAAAAACATTTATCAATAATGTATTAACATACATAATTCTAACAATGTCAAACAGTTAAATATTTATATTTGTTTAATAATACTTATAAATTATAAGATATATGTATAGATAAAGTTGGAGACAATGTTAAAAACTTAGTTTTAATGTATTTATAAAAGTAAAAAGTAGAATTTTGATATTTTAAGTTATAACCCCTGATAAATCATGATTGATCATTCCTATAAAAACTCTGAACAATTTTAAATGTAATACAATTAGTTCAGCTACTTATAAATATAAAACATTATGTTATTTTTCTTAAAATATAATTAAAAATTATGGTTCCAATATAGAAGAAAATTTGTAATATTATTGATGATTCATCAGACTAAAACAAAAAATAAAATAATTTTTAATTTATATGTTACTATGTTAAATTATAATTGGTTTCATTGCATATAACATAATAAGTCAAACAATTAATTAGTATTTTTTAAATTAATCTTAATCTTATCTCTTTTATCTCCAGATATTATTATAATAATACTATCATGTTCTAGATCGATTGTGAACTTGTGTTAGGTTTTAAATATATTCAGTTATGAAAATGCACATAACATGAATTTTATAGGAATAGAAGATTTAATTATTTAACTATTAAATAATGTTAGTTTAGTAGATAATACATAAATTTATTTTAACAATTTTTACTGTCTATACCAATTAATATTTAACCATGAACAGTTGTTACTATACTAAATTTATTTAACTTTTATTTAATTATGGATATTTAAGGAGTTAAATATAGAAAAAAAAAATTATTCAATATGGAATTATGTTTAGGTCAGAAAACAAGAATTTTTCCTTTTTAAGTTGAGATCCTCATTTTTTAATAAAAAAAAAACATTACTCCTAAAATTGTTGGAGAACCAAGTAGGCCAGCCCCAAGCCAACCAGCCTATACCTTTCCTACTTAGTAACTAAGTAATTAAAAATTAAAAATATATTTTGAAGAAAAAAGTATAAAGCTATTAATTTAAAAATAAAATAAATATCTAATTTATAATAAAAACTATTACCTGTTGTTGATGATTATCATTATCAGTCTCAGGTGGCCAACGTCTTGAAAATGATCGAGTATAGTATGGGTTTGTCATTGGTCCTTGTCTTGTTGGAAAAGCTCCATTAAAGAACATATTAAATAATTGCTCAGCTGTAATATCCGCTGCAAGCAAAATATTTTCTTAATACAAATAGTGCTCAAATAGCGTTTAAAATATTTACTTACATTCAAATCCATGATCATAATTTCTGTGTACATGATCTGATGTAGAATTATCATGACCAACCATATCATAACGTTTTCGTTTTTCTGCATCAGTTAAAGTGGCGACTGCATTACCAACAGCTAATTATTAAACAAAAAAAGCTCATGAATTTTTTACTTGTGAAATCACATAAAAAATAATTACAAACTTTTAAACGCTTCAGCTGCTCCAGGTGCATGATTTTTATCTGGATGTAATACTAAGGCTAATTTTTTATATGCTTTTTTTATTTCAGTATCAGTAGCATCTTTTTTTATGCTAAGCACCTCATAGAAATCTTTGCAATTGTTAACTCTAAAAGTAAATACAAATGTGATAAAAATCCTTGACAATTTAAAAAAAAAATTTTTTTTTTATAGCGCCACAGAGTTTATTAACCCTATGATGAGACCTGTCAATAACGTCACATAAGAATCTTTAAATCAATCAACAATACTTGTTTTTATTGCCACATAGATGCTCCAAAATTATTATATTACATATTATAATATGGAAATTAAAAAATTTTTGCCTGTACAACAAAGTTAATTTTTAGACAAACCTAATGAATCTGAGAAAAATAGTATGTAGGGTCAATGTGTCCTATGGCGCTTAACCTATCAAGGAATCAATTATATCATAGAATATAGGTACAAAAATATATTTTTACTGAAATCAAATACTGTAATGTAATCAGTATAGTTATGCATAATTAATTAAATAAAATTATACTATACTTTTTGACAGTGTCCAATTGTGCTTTTGTATAAGTTGGCTGATTAGCTTTTTCTGCTCTAGGGCTACCTATGAGTAAACTTAATATTATTAGATGAACAAATAGAAATTACTTAGGAACTAAATACCTGGAGGAGTAATTTTACGTTTTTTAGCATTTTGTCCATCAGGTTTTACATTTGATGTTGAATGCTTTTTTGGACCTTGAGTCTTTAATTTTTTTAATAGTTCTATACAAAAATAAATTTATAAATAATATAAAATGCAAAAGAAATTGAAGTACATACCATCTGCTTCAGAAATTGGAAACAGCTTTTTGCTCTTATTTATGAACTTTTCTGCTTTTTCGACATCGCCCTCGGCAATATAATATTCAGCACGATCTAAACAACGATAAGCTTCATCTTTGTTTACTTCCATAGTTAATTGTGTTTGTGATTGGTGAGAATAAAAATTTTAATTCAAAAATTGGTAAAATGTTTAAGTTATGTACATATATTCCTTCGTTAATGGAATATACGTTGTTAAAAACCAAAAATACACCTATGTCATTTTAAATGTAATAATCTATTTAACGTTTCCGTCTATAAAGATTATCTTTATCGGTATAAATATAAGAAAGTGTAGCTTAAAAAATGTGCTATAAACACGAGCCACAAAAATAAAATTAAGAAATAACAATTATGAATTAATAAGAACGAAGAATACAACTTATGAGAAAAACAAGTACAAAATTGTAGATATGGAAGTAATGATAGACAGAATTAATCAAGACTCAAAACAGCTGATCAATAGTGAATCTTAAACCATGGTTGATAGTCACCTAGATCCATCACAAACTGTACCTCTATGGTTAAAATGACACAATGGGATCTAATTGACAGAGGATCTAAATGACCATAGGGAGTTAGTTTTAACTTTTAACACCTAGTTTGGATTAAAATTACCTACATACTCATTTATATATTTAATATAATATATAATTTTAGTTTTTGTTTAGATCACCCCTGATCAACCGTCAACCAAATGTTTCAACATGATGTCAATTTATAATAATATATTATTAATTAAATTTATTTTATATTATTCTGGATTAATTTAATTTATTGTTTTTAATTCTAAGCGGAGCAAAAGAATGTATTGATTTTTCAAAAGTTTTTTTTTTTTTTTTTTTTTGAGGAGGGGAGATTAAAACTTCAAAAGTAAAAAATTTCAAATAGTATTATTTGCAATTAAAAAAACTAAAAGAAAACTAAGAAAAAACAGGAATTTTCTTGTAAATTAACTTTTGACAAAGTTGATTTTGTTTTTTTTTGGTACGACTCGAAAATTAATAACCCTAAAAACTTAACATTTTGTAAAAATATCTATATTATCATTTCCTATTTACAAAAATATTTTTAAAATATTTCAATTAAGTTTTGAACTTTTTATAGATAATTAATATTATTTATCTATTTTTTTTTTTTTTATAAATGTCGATAAAAACTATTTGTTGTATAGAAATGCTTGAAAATGTAATAAAAATTCCTTTATAAGTTATTTTACAGTTAAAAAATATTAAAAATCTAAAGGTACAATATTTTTTTATAAGCACTTACAGCTAAATCTTTGATAACATTTTAAAATATGCACCTACTTACGTCCATACTTACTTAACTATTTTGTAGTTAGAAATTCATAAAAACTTTTATTTTTATATCCAAGTTTTGAAAATTTAATACACAATTTATCATTAGTAGTTCACACTGAAATCATAAAATATAAAAAATATATCAAGACAACAATTTTTTATAGACATTTTAGTTGAAATTTGGATGAAATCCAAACTATTTTGTCATCAACATGATGTTAATTATGTTATAATTTAAAAATATTATTCATAGAAACTTTAATTTTTTACGTATTTTGTATTCTTAAATATTTTACTATGTGAAATGACATTTTTATTTTAAAAATAATAAAAATAATAAAATTTATTTTAAATTAGTAGACTTAAATATGTTTTAATCGTTATTAAGAATTTACTATTTTAAACCTATTGGACAAATTATTGGAACTCTAAACTGTTTAAACTTAAAATGTCATAACCCAATTTAAAATGCCTATTAGTGTTTTTCATTGTTTTATTGTTTCAAACTGTCAGTTGATAAAATAAATAAACTTCCTAATGCGTATGAAACAGGTATCAAACGACTAACATTCAAACCATTAGAAAAACAGTTAAAATGCTTTCCAAATTTAATAAAAAAAAGCATTTTTATGTTTTTTAATTGGTTAAAAAACTATTCCGTTTAAACATAACTCATGTTACATTTCTAACTATCCTTAAAAAAAAAAAATAATAATAATAATGATAAAAATCACTTATTCATTAAATGGAAGACATAATATTATGATGTTCTTAAATTAAACTAAAATAGTATAACTTATATTTATTCTATTAGAAAAAATAAATGTTATATTATTACTTACAAATTTATAAATTCAAATAATTTTTGAGACAATGTTTACTATGATATTTAGGTTTATTTTAGAATATTTATGCTATAAATTTTTAAAATTCCCTTAAATATTTATTTATTCTTTTTTTATTATTAAAGACTATGGTTAAGAAAAATATCTATTAAATTTTTAATTATGTCATAAAAAATAAGACAATTGTAATATTATATCATATTATTATTTAAAAATTTTAATAAATGTTTAATTTTTATGCGAAGACTTAAAAAAGTAATAAAACATTTTTAGTTAGAAATTAAATAAAATTATTTAATCAGTAAATAATTAATATTGAAACTAAAAAAATTTTAAAATTATCGAAGTACAATTTTTTTTTAGACATAGCGAAGAAGTTAAAATTTGAACGAAATTAAGTATACCTGTAATTAAGTAATGATGATTGATGAATTAACTATTTTGTTGTAATTAAAAAACATTATCCACAAAGACTTTAAATTTTTACATATATTATGAATTTTACTATGTGTAATGAAATTTTCAATACATGTAGATTAGTGTAAAAATATTACCTATGTACACTAAGAATCTATTCATACTGTTTTACAGTAAGGTGATAAAAGATATTGATTCAAAAGTTAATACCTAACAGTAATATAATACTTATGATATAAATTATTATTATTCAACAATATTAAATTATTAATTAATAATATTAATAAATACAATATTTTTGTCAAAAATTAAATCATTCTATCATAATATTGATAGAAAAATAAATAACTTTAATATCAATATCATGACATTTACTTAGTGACATTAATACATTATAATTTATAAGGTCTGTCAATCATGAGTCATATGTAACTATATTACTATATTCTATTAGTAGGTACTTAAATAACTGATATACAAATTATTATTAATTTTATTATTATGTATATACCTAACTTCAATGTTGCTGAATTTTACTTTTATTTGTTATTTAAATTTATATTTCATAGATATTTTTACTACTTTTATTTAGGTACCTACTTAAAATGTAATTTTCGTGTTAGGTATTAGTTATACATATCAACTTATATGAATTGCATTCAACCAGTGTATATTTTACACATTATTAATATAAATATAAAATTGTTTATTAATTATTATTTTTGTTATTTCTTAACAATATGATAATACCGCGACAGCCGATAATACAACAGCCCATAATTAGATTGTGAACAATGTGACCTTTAAATTTAAAATAATAACATATTATACCTATATTTCTAATATTTTTGATTTTCATCATTAATTTTTCAAAATTATTACATGATTCATTAAATAGCATACAATTAGCATGAATTTACATGACTAGGTAATTTCACAATTTGTATGACATCAGTGTCTCTGGAATAATTGTAAAAAATCAATAGATGTATGATGATAGCGGTACCTAACGTGTACGTAGTACATACATTTTATTCGATACCAGTTTTAAGCTCTTAGACCTTAACCCTGTTATATCTACTCAAAGTAAGGCATTTAGATACACGTAGGTATACCATCAAAGCCAAACAATAATCACTACATTCACATATAAATTCAGTTAAGTTAGAAACTAATTAAATACGTGTTAATATTTTATAAACATTACGTTGTAACAAATAGCATAGCAATTTTTTAACAAGTATTTCATAATATTAATTATTACCTACATATAACATATTAGGTCTATAAAAATGAAATATTCCTAGATTTTGCTATTTCTTTAAACTTGTAAACTGATTTGTATAGACGTATAGTCAAATTTGGTATGTGAAAAACATCAAACGGCTGAAATAGAAAAGTAGATAATATAAGATCATTCTTAGTAAAAGGTCTATGGATTTATCATAATATTATAATATCATAGTCTATGGAAAATGCCAATTTTTGCAGGTAATTAAAAATTCTAATAATTTAAATGAAAAAAAAAAATGAGCCAACAATATATGGCTGAATTTTTAAACAGTATTTTGGTTTCAAACATGCACTATCATATTCATCCCATTCAAGTTTTTTTTTCAATATCTTAATAGTTAATACTTCTAGTTTGAAGCACACTGAAGATAGATGAAGAAAACTATTTTTTCAGAAGCAATATACTGCATGTACGAATTCTAAATTTAGCACAACTTGATTTCACCAGAAGAGATGTTTATGTAAGTTTATTTTGAAAAGTGAATTATAAATAAAATAATAAGGTAAAAAAAAAAAACAAATAGAAGTAAATAGAACTAATAAAAAACTTCATGTAATTAATGGAAGTAAATGGAATAAATAAAAATACATGGAAGTAAATTAATAAAATAAGGAAGTATAAGATAAACACAGAAACAAAGGAATAAACCAAGAAATTCAAGGAAATAAGAGAAAAAATAAACTAAAATTTTAGAATATACCAGATAATAGTAAGATGTAAATAGACAAGTAAAAAAATCATAAAATTCAATAAAGTAGATGGAAATCATTGAAAAGTTGGATATTCAGGAAGTAAATTAATAAGTTATTTTATGTATATATAAGGAAGTAAATAGAAAAAAAAGTTAAAAACAAACAAATGAAAATAACAAAATAACCTTGAAAGTTGAAGAAATTTTATATAAAAAAAAAAAAAGAGAATAGGAAATTTATGAAATTAAGTGAAAAATGAATGAAAATATATGGAAGTAAATTAGTATAAATGAATAAATCAAGAGGTTCAAGGAAATAAGAACAAATAACCTATTTTTTGAAAAATTAAACCCTTTATCTCTCCATTCAGAATCCAAAATAAGGCACACAAATAATTAAATGAATGTAAACAAATACATCAAAAAAATACAAGAGAATATATGAAGATAAATAAAGAAAGGACTTGCAAGAAAGTAAACATTAAAAAAAAAAAAAAAAAATACAATATAGTAAATAAAAAAATAATTGACTATATTAAGAGGTAAAAAGAAGAAAATGGAAAAAAAGCTAAAAGATAAAGTTTAATTGGAAGTAAATGAACATAACCAGGAAATTCAAGAAAGTAAATGGAAAATATTAAAGAATATAAGAAATTTAAAATTTAACTTACTAATAAAAATACATTTTCAAATGTGACTGAGATTACACACTCAAACTAAAAGCTGCAGTACAAAATATATACAATTATTTGTATTTTGTTAAATTTTTATGTTTTAGTTTATATAAAAACTATTTGCAACCTAAATTGTTATTGACATATAGATTTTTATACAATTTTATAAACTGAAAAAATTAAAACAAAATATTAATTTCCTTTTTTTTACTTATTTGCTATAAATTTAAATAATAATATTAAATTTCAAAAATATAAAAATAAAATGTACAATTATTTGTTTTATAAATTATCGGTATTCATTTAGTATGTGACCTACTAATCAAGGGACCTTATAAGGTGTTCGTTTTGCATGCGTGACCTACCAGGCCAATAATTAATTTAAAAACATTCAAATTAAAAATTATATAATATTAGGTTATTTTATTATTACAGATTATAGATTACATTCAATATCAATCAAAATTAATTTAAAAACAGTCAAATTAAAAATTATATAATTTTTTTTTTTTTTTTTAAATATATTATTTGACTTTATTATGAAAAATTACAATCTATACATCAAGTACAATAAGTAATATAAATATTTTACAGATAATTCACAGGTTAAATTATATACATGAAGGGGAAATCACACATTTGTGACACCCCTGAAAATTATATAATTAGGTTATTTTATTATTACAGAATATCAGTACAAAAAAAAAAAAATCATAAAATTAATTATTTTTGGCAATACACTTTTTGTACATTGCTTAAAAATTAAAAAAAAAAAAATTGTGTCTGGCCTGTTGATAGATCAATACCATGCCTCAATTAAATGACGTGGTAACATCTCATCTGATGTTCCATGCATTTTTCGTAGGATTTTAGTTTTTAATACTCCCCATGAACATTTAATTGCTTGTGTATGAGCTCCAGTAGTTGGATCAACAAAATTTTTTGAATGGTTTACTGTTTTATGATCATAGCCTATATTTTTTAAACAAGAATATGCTCTCCATTCATATAATATAGATAATCGTCTTGGTAGGTCACACACTAAACCCAGTAATACAGGTAGGTCACATACTAAATTCGATTTTCGATCAGTAGGTCACATACTAAACGAGTGCCAAATTATCAATTAATAATCAAATGAATCATAATAATCATAAGTATCAAAGAATTCAACTTCAGTCAAATAATCTTCTTCACTTTCTGATGAACCATTTGAAGCATGATAGAATCTATAAGGGTTTTCATTTCCACTATATCTTGTATTGTAATAAGAAGATTGATTTCCTGAAAAATTATGTATTTGATAAATATTTACATAGTAAAAATCTTAAAAAAATATGATAAATGTTTAGTTTAGATTAAAAATCAGTTTTTACTATTTTTCAGTAATATTGCTTGAATACCTGCTAAAGATGTCAAATTTTTCTAAAATTATATAACAAAAATTACCTGGTTTTTTTTATTTATTTATTTATTTTTACAAGCCTTATCATCATGAAAAACATCATAAGAAAAATAAAAGTATTATTTTAAATGTATTTATTATATCTAATTGGTAAACAAATAAGAGATTTAATAAACATAAGTAATGTGACTAATATTTATTAATTTGTTTGATGTAATTATTTTAATTTTTAGCATGCAATAAATTTTTCATCCCTGAGTATACTCACGGTAGGAACTTTGAGAATAATTTGTAGATGTAGAAGTAGAAGCTTTTCTTAAAGTTTGGTCATATATTTTACGTTTTGTACTATCACATAATGTGTCAACAGCATTACTAACATCTAATAAACATAGAAAAAATATATTAATTTATAAAATTAAAAATGAATTATTATTTTATTTTACCTTTAAAAACTTCTCCTGAACCAGGTGCAGAATTTTTATCAGGATGCAATAACAAAGCTAATTTTTTATATGCTTTTTTTATTTCAGGAATAGTTGCAGTAGTTTTAATGTCTAACATTGTATAGTAATTTTGACTATTTTTCACTCTAAAAATACAAATTAATAAATTTACAATTGATATTTCTGGTTAGTTTTCAAAAAATGTATCCTAATTTATTGATATCAAATAAACATGTCAAAAGATAATTCTATAGTAATAGTATTTACACTAATTAATGAGATGAATTCATATTTGGTTATAATAAGAGGAGGTTAGGAGGTTGGTCTGTTTTTTACTGTTTGTTGAATATAATAGTTCTCCAGACAAAATTTACCACAGTTATCATAATAAACATATTTAAAATTAAAATATTCCAAATCAATTTTTAATAACAAAAATAATAGTTATTATGGTATAAATTAAGTAAAAAAACAGAATAAAATAACCACATAAAGTGATCAGTTGCTGAATGATATTGTAGTGATTATATACTATGTCATATGCCATATTATTAATTTTTGTATTTTATTATATCCTAATGCAACATAAGTTTAAAAATTAGAGAAAAAAATTTTACCCGCAGTAAAATACATAGGTGGTTATAAATTAATTGTTAATAAATACTGATTTTTATTATTATTTGCTTACTCTCAAAAAATGGAAATTTAAGTGTCTTTAAAAATTCTGCCACTCTGCCAGAAGCAAAGGGTAAGGTAATTGAAAAACAAATCATATCATGATTACCTTATGTATAGGAGTCCAAAGACAGTGCAGTTGTAATAATTATGATAATCATATTAAAATAGCAATTAATTTTAAAACTAAGTATTTTGTAGTCAAAGTTATCAAATGAAATAATTGTTCATATTACACTTTTGACTATAGTTCCAGAATAAGCGATCTGTGCACTAGTGGAATGATGGCATCGCGGAATTGAGAAAAGCTACTATAGTAGCCCGGAGGCGTTACCAACGCGTTAGCCGAAGGTCGGAGCATCTGGACCGACTTGCTGAGCTCGAGGTATATAACAACGCACGGTGCGAGCTAAAAAAAGCTATTCGCAAAGCACAGGAAGCAAGTTGGGCCGAGTTATGCCGGTCTGTGGACAAGGACCCGTGGGGCGTCCCTTACCGCCTTGTTATGAAGAGGCTCGGTCGTCATGTTCCAGTTCTGATTCGAGTCGTGACGGTTAATGTAGCACGCGGACTGTTTCCCCTCTCGCCCGAAACGGACTGGGTCTCTATCCCGGCAGAGTCGGCTATTATGCCGGTACTCATGAGTATGTCAGATGCACAGCTGCTGGGTCCTCCGATCACACAAGACGAAGTTTCAAAGGCAGTCGCTAATCTACCGTCGGGCAAGGTGTCAGGGCCTGATCTCATATCGAACGAGATCATTAACTGGCCTTCGAGAAGCTCCCTTCGATCTTCGTCGAGTGCTATAATGCGTGCATCGCTCACGGCGTATTTCCAGATTGTTGGAAAAAGGCAAAATTGATATTGCTACACAAGGGCCAGGACAAACCGCGCGATGTCCCGTCGAGCTATCGGCCAGTCAGTCTCCTCGACGGGGCGGGCAAATTGCTCGAGAGACTGCTGCTGGAGAGGCTGAACGCCCATATAGCGCATGTTGGAGCCCTCAGCGATCTCCAGTTTGGATTTAGGCGATCAAGGTCGACGACGGACGCCATCGAGGAGGTAATGAAGGTAGCCGAGCTTGCAGGTTGCTCTGTCAGGGATAGGCACCTCTGTGTGCTGATTACCCTGGACGCGAGGAACGCCTTCAACTCGGCTCCTTGGCGGTTGATCGATGCGGCACTTCGTAATTCGGCGACTCTCGAATATCTTATAAAAGTCATGAGATCTTATATGAGTTCACGGGAACTCATATTGGATGAAGACGGCAGCTTGCAAGTAACGTGTGGTGTCCCACAGGGATCGGTGTTGGGACCTACTTTGTGGAACTTATTTTACGACGGTGTTCTGCGGCTGCCTATGTGTGATGGCGTAAAGTTAATTGCGTTCGCGGACGATGTTGCAGTGGTGGCAGTAGCGCATAATGCCCAGCTAATTGAAGAACGGATAAATCCCATACTTTACGACATCGAACTGTAGATGTCCCGTAACGGTCTCGCCATCGCCCCGGATAAATCGGAGTGTGTGATGCTCACCAAAAAACGTGTCTTCCGTGAACCCGAGTTGTTCATACAGGGCCAACAGATGCGTTATTAGGTTAGGTTAGGTTAGGACGCGCTATCAGGTACTTGGGTGTTCGGCTCGACACGAGGATGACCTTTGGTGAGCACGTAGCCACGGTGACCTCTGGTGCGAGAAAAACTGTAGCGGCACTTGGCAGGCTTATGCCGAACGTCGGTGGACCCTGTCAAAGTAAGCGCAAGCTACTCATGAGTGTGGTCCATAGCCATTTGCTTTATGGCGCTCTGGTGTGGGTGGATGGAGCGACCCGTCTGCAGAAGAATACTGACAAACTGCTGCAAGCCCAGATGTGTGCGGCCTTTGCGAATGGCTAGGTGCTATCGGACCGTCTCGGATATGGCTGCCCTAGTCCTCGCCAGGATGCCGCCGATAACCATATTGGCAGTCGGGAGGAAGTACGCAGCAGAAGCAAGGAAAGATGGCGCTAATCCCGAGCAGCTGATGTCACAAGAAGAAACCATCCAGCGGTGGCAGACCATGTGGGAGTCGACGACAAAGGCGGCTTGGACGAGGCGACTCATACCCAACATTGGTAGATGGTGGTTCTTTGGTTCCCGACAGATAAGCTACCACATGGCCCAAGCTCTCACTGGCCACGGGTGCTTTCAAACCTATCTGTCGTCCAGGGGAAAGACTGGCAGTCCGTCATGTGTCCACTGCCCAGCAGACAACGACAATGCGAGCATACGTTGTTCCATTGCCAATTCTAGGAGCCAAAAAGGAGGGCTCTCGCACTTGTCATCAGGAAGGTTATTGTGCCGAAGGACGTAGCATACTTGCTGTGCGGTCCGGAGCGCGAGCAGTTACCAGAAGACCACGCTGTGAAGAGGAGGCTGATCTCTTCGGCCGCTAGTCATGGTCAACTTTTCCAGGGGATGGTAGAACAAATACTTGGCGAAATGGTGGTGCTTGAACGGAAGCATCAGAGATCTGGGCGAGCGGTTGTTCCTTAAGATTATATTAACCTAGTTAAGTTGAATTACATATGGGCTGAATGACCAGTTTTTCTGGGTGGTTAGAGGCCCCCATATTTTATTTTTGTAAATATCTATATACATATATTATGTTGTAGTTAGGTAACAATTGCTGTTAATGTATTGTATTGTAAATTGTTCATTTTCAATAAATGTGTGGGCAGAGAGGCCGTAATGGGGCAACCTACTTCCCTCTCTGTCTGCGGTTGTAACTCAAAAAAAAAAAAGGTAATTCTTAACCTAAACTAAGAAAATACTTTAAATGGTCAATCTAATTGTATATAAAATAATCTGAGTATTTGATATTACACATAAATAATTTTAAATTATTGGTTTTTTTTTTTTTAAAAGCAAAAAATGAATACGTTCATAGTGAATTGAAAATCATTAACAAAAGATAGTTACTTTTTAACAAAATTTGCCTGTTCTTCTGTATAATCAAGCTTAGTGGTATCTTTTGTTTGCTTAGTGGTATCTTTTGTTTCTTGAAGCTGTTTTAAGAGTTCTAAAACGTTAAATTATTATTTATTTTTGATTGTAATTATGCATTATTACATGATATATTTAGATTACCATCAGCTCTGGGTATTGGAAAAAGCTTTTTTGATTTGAGAATAAACTTTTCTGCCAACTCAAATTGTTTGCTTTGGATGTATTGCTCTGCTTTTTCGAGACACTTAAAAGATTCATCTTTATTTATCTCTTTAAACATCTTATATGAATAAGTAGTACCTGTAATAATAATTTTAGTTATTTATTACTTTCTTAATAAGTTCAGTACTAATACTAGTATTAGTATATAAGAAGCCTTCATTATTTATTAAATGCAACATTTTTTATCTAGGTGTAATTAAACCTTTACATTTTCTACAAAATCAATATAAATATAAGTCCATGTACAAACTTGATTTGTGGTTTTTTTTTGACTTTTTTTGTGGTTGTTTAGTATTGTACTCAGTACTGGAAGATGAATTGGAATTATCACCATTATAAGATGAATCAGAATGATCTTAAACATATAAATATGATATGATATAATGTTACATAATATTAAATTTTTAAGTTTTACACACCTGATTGATTTTGTTTCTTTGATCGTTGCTTTGAATGTTTTATTGATGATTTTAATTTTTTCATTAGACCTACAAAATATTGTTTTATTTTATTTAATTTCAAATACTTATCTATCTGGGAAAATATGTAAAACAATAAATTTATATCAAACATCGTGGTGCATAAAACTTCAATTTATGATATGTGTAATACTGTAATAATATGTTGCACAGAATAAAAAATACTGTATCTCCTGGGTAATTAATATTCCCAAAATATTAACAAAGAAAATTAATTTTATTCTTATTTCTAGATGATTTTAAAACTAATTACTGATTTAATAAATTTAAGTTTTTGTTTAATTATGAATAACAGAAAAATGTTTTTTTTTTTTAAATAAATGAATTTCTTTTTTTTATGTTTTTAGGGTAAAATTTAGAAATTATAAGCACTGAAAAATCTGAGTCTTAGTAATTATAATATACAGTACATAACACTTAAAATAATATAATGAAATAAGTAATATATCTATTAATATTTCATTAATGTCTTTTTTTTAAATAACAATTTAATAGAAAGTATTTAGGTACTCACTTTTTGTTTCAGTTGTTGGATACATTTTATTAGCTTTAACTGAAAATTTCCAAGCATTATCCAAATCCTTTTTCTTAATGTATAATCTAGTCAACTCAATACAGCGGGATGCCTCATCCCGGTTGCTCTCCATTGCTTAGTATAATCAAGAAATATTATATTATATCATTGATATTAAAATATTAAATAGTTAATGGTTAATTTAAACTAGTAGTTTCAATTCATGATACTGTAAAGTTATAGTTTATAGACAATAATATTGTATGATTTTATATTTTTAAGTCTATGACGTTAATTAAATATTGTTTACAAAGTCTGTGTTACTTGTAGCAGTCATCAACCAGAAAATACTATGAATAAAATATTATAATTAATACAACTATATAATATTAATCTTAGTATTAATTTAATAAATTAAGATTTAACTGATTTAAGATCAGTACCTAATGCCTATTACCTACTAGACAGTAGACACTGGCTACTATCAACAGTATCAACTACTATCAAGCAGACTTTTTTCATAATTAGTGATAACATTGAATTTTTTCATCGTTTGGTTTTTGATAATAATCCCTTATCTATGTTTATTTTCTAATAGAGCTGTTCCCAACTTTTTTTCGTTCCTTACTCATAAGTTAAATATTTTTCTACATTGTACTTCTCGTTATAGTTTTTAAAGTTTTTCTCATAACTACTTATAAAATAACAATAATGTTATAATATGTATATTTTAATTTTTTGTAATAAATTATTTTACTTATTTATTAAATAAAAAAATGTTAACACAAAAATTTAATGAGATCCTTGACCTTGTTTCGAATTGCATAGTTTTTTACTGTACCAGTTTTTAACCATTAATACATATTTATCAATATATATATCAAAACGTGAGTTACAGAATAATACAACTACCGACAAAAAATTTTTAAACAATAAAAATAGCAAGTTATATTATATAAATAAGGATCATTCATATATAATGATCACAGTTTAAAAGCAATTGACGAACTGATTGGTTTTCACTTTTCGATATAAAATTGAGTTTTACCCGTATGAACGAATGTGCGATAACAATATTGCAGTTATTCCTAGTTGTCTAAATTTATGCTTAAACCGCACGACCATCACCGCAACTTACCATATTATATTATTAATTATTGCATGTATTCACTATAGTACCTACTTTATAATCTACATTCTATACCCCATATCTACTAAAAAGTTGATGGCTAAGTTTTAATTTGTAACACATATTTTCATTTTTAATAACATATTATATTGAATATTATCTAAACGAATCGTTTTAAATAAACAAATTCAACATTTTTCTGCTATTAGTTAATTTTTTTCACGTACCTCAGGTTGGGAACTGCTGTTTTAATACAATATTTATAAACACAGAATAGATAAAAATATAAATTTCATATATTCTGTGGTTTAAAAGGATGTCGTACTCTCATGTGCTATCTTCGTCGTACTAAGTATTTATTCTGTTTGCTTTAATAGTAAGTAGAGTAAATTTAATAATTATTCAACTTAAAAGTAAGAATATTATTTTGGGCATAACCCAAAATATCATTAATGATATTTCAATTTTAAACTGAATAATAGTATAGATTATAAATCAATGTCCAATGGTTATAGCTATGCAAGATGTTTAAACTTCAAAATGCTCATAACTCATTTTAAAATTAAAATATTAATAAAAGCCTCCATGGACCATGATTATTTAGATAATATTTTTAGCTTTAAATTTGATAATTTAAAGTTAACAGCATAAAATGGACTCAGAAAAACGCAAATTTACTGTATTATAAGTTATTAAGATGGAGACAACACATGCGGTTGCAATGGTTAATCTCCCGTCAAGAAACAGTTCACATTGCATAAGAAAAGAAGATGGGCAACTGAGTTCTACTGTACCTCTGTACTTCAAAATTAACATAACCAATTTCAGGTATAAAATTGAAATTTTGTTTATCGCATTCATTGAAAATATGTGTAAAAGTTTGTGAATAACACTCTGTACTCTTAGAAGGTAGCAAACAAGTTTGATATGTATAATAATTAATAGGAATATATTGTGGTTGTTGTGAGTAATATGAATAGGTAGTGAATATTTTACAACAACTTATAAATGTATCATCGACATAAATTGTATTAGATTTACATAGAACTTTTAAACTTTCAGTTATTGAAAATATTATTTTATTTACACTGTCATTAATTAATAAAAAGGCTTCTTCACGATTTGTTTTTATTTTAAAATCGATTAATGTTTTATAAATTTCATTTAAACTTTTAGGAATAGGTACTCAGTTAAATACTTTTTCTAGCAAAGTATATATATTTTTTTAATTCTAGTATAATCGTTATGTATTATAGTTTCTATATTATTTTTTAATTCATTATGAATTAACAACTTAGATGGCCTTTCACTAGGATTTTTTTGTGCTTTTCTTTTAAAAGAGTTACTCACTGTCTGTTTAAAATATTTACTTCGTCAAGTTCATGATTTTGTGAGATATTTTTTTCAATAATCATTTTATTTTCACCTTTGTAAAAAGATTTACATGTTCTTTTTGGTTTTTACAATTTTACACATTGTCATCGTTCGATATCATTTTTTAAACATTTATGAAATGAAAATTTAAAATCGTTAATAACATTAAATTTGGGTTCACATGTGTTAGTTATAACGTCCATTATGACTGATTCATCAAAACTGAACAAGTTATGATCATGTGAACACTTGTTTCAGCAGGACTAAATCATCAAATTTGATTATCAGTCACATATAAACTAGTTTTATTTTGCGTCATTTCTAATGATCAGTATCGTATCATGAAAGGTGTAAACTTGATTTAAAATAAATTAAATATTTTATAATTTCAGTACTTATTTAATAAATCATAATATTACGTGTTTATTATATAAATCCAAAATAAACGAATTTACATCTTCTGTTGAAAATTTTTTTAATAAACGTTCACTAGCGCCTAACGTATCACGTCTTGAAATCCATTTCCTGACCCACCATCTTCGTGTTTTTTATTTTTAAGTTATTTTAATATATTCTAAAATTCTTTTGATATTTGAGCACATAGTAACACTATTTTTTATAGTTCGTATTAAAGATTTTTGTGAATTCGTCATCGGAAAATATTACAATAAAAATATACAAGTAGGTACAAAAAGAGATGTGCTATAATGCGATGCCATACGATCACTATTCATTAAGAATGTTCAGTTAAATATTATCATTATAATTGAACTATGTGAACGATTTGTTAAGTTAAAAGGATCGTCAATAGAAATGAGTCAGTCATAATGAACGTTTTAACTGACACATGTACCCAGCTTAATACCGCTTACCTTTCTCACTGAAAATAATACTCGTAACCTTCCATACTGCCACTATGATAATATTTAAACACCTAATCTTAGTGGTTGGTAACTGCTTTAAGCACTGATCAATGAATATTAAGCATGTTAACTACCAACTGGCAATGAATTATTTATCATTAAGGTAACGTAATGTTCGTTAATTGTGCCGCCCGGATTTCGCCGGAGCGGGATTTGAACCTGTATACCTAACACTGAGGGACCTATCTTAAGACCTATCTATCGACTACCATTCGAGTTGGAAATTCGATGCTGAATATCGAGAATTTAAACCATTTTAGAGTAGCAACGAATATTGCATTAAACGTTGTTTAACCAATGCAATTTTCACAATTCGTGTGTTATGAAACCTTAAATGATGTATTTATCTAAATTAATTGAATATATCTCATACATATATATCGTGATATCACACTAAATTTATGCAAAACACTAAATTATATGCCATTTTTTTATACACAAAATATTTTATACATTATTGAGACAATATTGTTTCATATAGGTAAATAATACGATTTATTGAATAATAATAAAATAAAAAACAGTAGTATGACAATAATGAATAGGGTTACCGACCGTAGAACACACTGTGCGTACGCATTTTCCAAACCGAAATTAGGGACAAACGGCACATATACAGCTCGCAAAAAACGCGTTCTATGCAATCAGAAATCGTGCGGACGCGAAAAAATCAAAACTGACTCACATTCAGAGAAAAATTGGAGAAAAACGTCCGACTGGAGCCCGTCTCTATTACGGCCATAAGCATAACTAGACCTTAAAGTTAGGTGGGGCTTCAGCCCTAGAATTTTTATTATAAGTAAATTAAGTGGGGGGCTCTGCCTCCCATACCCCCCAAAAACCTTACATTCATTGATTATACATGTAATATGAATGTAAATTAATATTTAATTATAAAACAAATAATAAATCAAGTGGTGTTGAGGTTAAATATTTATATATTAACATATTATTAAGTATTATTTTAAATATAAAGAATTTAACGATTTTTAGTTTATTGACAACTTCTTAGTAGGGAGTATTTATGTAGTAAAAATTACACAACATGATACGTCTTACACAATTACACAGGATCATTACATACATTAATATGGTTTAAATTAATATTTTTCCAAGATATTAATAAAAAAAATATAACGATATTTTAAATTTAAGTTTAAAAATTTTACTACTATTGGTAGGAGTGTGTGACTAGGAATTATGACAGGGGGGGCTAAAATTTATGTTGGGGGGACTGAGCCCCCCAAGTCCCCCTAGTTACGCCTATGATTACGGCTACGGCCGAAGACCAAGTCCGCCAAAAAACCACATACTCATGGAACGAAAAAGACACGCTCTAAGACTCGAGAATGCGATGAAAAATTATCACGAGAGGCGGGAAAAACAGGCGAAAAGCGGAAAATACAGTAAAAAGAGTTAAACGGTAATAAATAATAATAATTATTAATTAATAACGACCGATAACGATAACGGGCCACTAGCGACGGGAGATAACGACACACGACACGACACATAGATAAAAAAAAATCTAATTTTATGATTGATAATTCACTTTACCTATCGGAAAAAAAAATGAACTATTCTTCGTATTTTATTATAAGAAGAAGAAAAAAGATGACGAGACTTGTTCATTAATCATTATGTATGTACTATGTATGGAAATTGGAATGTAAAGAACACATACAATAAAAAGTGTAGAAATGAAGTACCTATATCAGTGTAGTTCAACGCATTTTATTACTACGATATTACTATTTTTATACTTAATCAGTGTACCTCAATTTTCGACGAAAAGTACGTGATCCATAATCCATATTGTATTCTTTCATTATATTAATACTATGATTCGATAAATAATCATACATGTACCCAATTCGTACAAAATTTAAAACCTATATTATTTTCGAACCCAACTCGGGTGTGCCCTAATTTATTTAATTTATTTAAACTAAAGAAAAATATTTTTATTAATTATTGTTTATTTTAG